TGTGCAGGAGGCAACACAGATGGCATCCAAATAGAAAGGAATGGAGAAAGTTCGTTAAGAGCTAGGACCGTTAAGAAGATTGTCTTCTTCTTCACGTGCCATCTCCGCGACGGAGGTTGGCAATCATCATGGCTATTCTGATCTTAGATGCTGCTGCTCTGAATAGTTCAATTGATGTGCATCCGTACCATTCCCTCAAGTTACGCAACCATGAGATTCTTCTTCTTCCTACACTTCTCTTGCCCTGGATTTTCCCTTGTATAATCAATTGAAGTAGGTTGTATCTCTCATTACGCATAACATGCCCCAGGTATTGCAGCTTTCGTGTCTTGATGGTTTCCAATACTTCCATTCTTTTGTTGATTCTTCTCATGACTTCGTTGTTTGTTACATGCTCGGTCCATGATATCTTCAGGATTCTTCTATACACACTTAATATCTGCTTACTTAAAAAAACTGGTTAACTTAACTCTACAGTACTGAGAAATAGAAGAATAACTGTCACACTTTAACCTACATTAGCTTGTCAAATTTACCTCTAAAATCTAATAGATAACAAAAAAACTCATTGTCTCCAAGTCAGAGATGTGGTGCTTTTAAGCCACCTTTTTTAAAATTTAATGTCTATTTCGTCCTTTTTAAGTGTGTTCTGTTTGTCCCTAAGTGTCCTTAATTGTTTGAGTTTTAATAATTTTATATACTGGACTTTACAATCATTTGCCATATAATAGTAAGTCAATTGAACTTTATCAAACAAATTTGATAATTACAAGTTGAAGAAAATTGCACACTCACACAAATTGTATATATAATTTCATTCATTGTCATGCAACTGTGACCTTAATAAACTCTCAATAAATAACACACATTTCATCGATATATCTCTTGAATAAATATAAATAACTTTTAAAGAATTAAAGTTATATAGAACATCATTCTCATTTAACAAACAATCACATTACACTATTTCTACTTCATTGGATAAAATCTATCTCCTCAAGAAACTTCCCGTATATGGTCAAACAATTACAATAGTAAAAAACTGAAGTTCAGCATTCAGCAATACGGGATAGTTGGAACTATACTTCATCTAATTTAGATAACGACTTACGTCATTATCTACGTCAGAGATCGAAGTTGACATAGTTGCCAAAGTATAAAAAAATCCTGACTCCATTTTAAATCAAATAGATTACATAATTATTGCAAAAGTATTACCATCTCTTTACAACGACTATTTAAATTCTTACGTGACATTTTTGAAATAAAACACACTAATTTTGTTCTAAAAAGAACAGATTTTATTAAATAGTTAAAAATATAAAACAAGAGATATTCACTTTAAAATTCAAAATAATGAAGTACAAAAAGTGTCAACACCGCAACTGTCAAATAAGTGTTACCAATTTATGCCAAAATTTTACCTTCGTTCGATTACAGTTACAGTGTGTTCCGAACAAATGTTCTTGATAAAAACGCTTTATAATGCATTTATACAAATTAAATGAAACATATTATTGTGTATTTCTTTAAGTTAACATTAATAGAAATTTTTAAATATTATTTCTACGCGTATATAATAAAATATGTCTAGTGGCTGTAATGCCAGTGTACTCGGTAAAGTGATTCTAAAAAAGAACACACCTACACCCTAAATATTTTGTGTTGGTATCATGTGACGTCACAGGCTATGACGCCGATGACGTGCATCGTTATATAAATTAGATGAAGTGTATGTTCTTCCAACAATTAATTAATAGAGTACCGGCATGTGAGTAATGTTTGGTTTATTTACTAATTTATTACAATTTAATAGACTTTTTTATATCAATTTGTGGGTCTTACTACTTGCTGCTTAAACAGTTTATTCATTTTGAAAAACCACAGACATGTAATATTGGCATAATTACTGTAATTTATATCATTTATCTTTGTTTATCTTTATAAGACAACACCCTAATATGGATTTTATTATTTCAGCATTTAATTAACTTTGTATCGACAGACCTGAAGATGCTTTGCAAATTGTAGAAAGCGAAACCGGTCGTCTAGATAGTTAAATTAAACTGATGTGAGTAAGTCTTATTTATTATTTCTTTTACCTATTTGAAATGGACTGACACAAGCAACACATTCATGATTCTGGATATTTGTTTCTTCTTTTTACATATTATTATGTATATAGATTCATTTTTCCTATTTGTTTTATAATTTATTTTATTTTTAATTACTTTGATTTTATTTTTCACGCAGGTTTATCGCATATTCACCTAGAATTATTAAGGTCTTTTTATTTTTCAATTTTTCAACTTCAAGTACGGAACTTAGGTAGTCCATTTTCCATTCCTTCGATATTTTTCATCAAATAAGCATTTGTTGTGAATATATATATATATATATATATATATATTATAATATAATATTATATAAGTTTAAATATTACGTATACGTACGATATATGTCTTATGTATACGTGTGAAACTCCAAAGCGAGAAAAAACACTAGTGCCACCTTCGCGCATGATACAGACCAGACTAGCGATAGGAGACACTATTAAAGAAGCGACTAATAAGTTGCAACTATTAGTAAATACAGTACATACCTGGACCAGAAAATCGCGAATAAAATTAAAGGAGACTGAATCTGCACAATTAACTTTACAAAAAAAAAACAAAAAATAGAAAATTGCGCTGTTAGAATAAATAATACCTAAGTTCCATATGCAACATCAGCAAAATACCTTGGACATCATTCTAGATGCGAGGCTGTCCTGGAATGGAATGTCAAAAAGAAAAGAGGGGAGCTTGATATTAGATATCAGAAATTGTATTGGCTGATTGGAAAAAATTCAACATTATCCATTTATAATAAATTATCCATTTACAAGCAAGTATTAGGGCCAGTATGGGTATATGGGTGCCAACTCTGGGTCTGTATCAAAATTAGTAATCTACATATGTTATCCATGATTTCAAAACAAAGTACTGAGGAACATTATTGATGCTCTTTGGTATATCTATAACAGCAACGTCCACTAGGACCTGGATATGAAACTGTGACCGAAGTAATCAAGAGAACAGCAGCAAGTCACGAGCAGAGCCTGCATAGTCATGTGAATGTCAAGGCAATCCAGCTTCTTGATAACACTAGACTAAAGACAATACTCATAAGGATAAAACCGTTTGAGTTAATGTAAATGTGTAACAGTTTAGTGTAAAAAGCAGAGCATAGTACAGTGATGTCATTGCATGTTAGTTGTAGTGCATTAGTTAATAGATAAAATAAGAGTAAGCCATAGGGTAAGCCATTAAATTTAAGTATTTGCTGTTTATTAAGTTAGGTACGATGTAAAGACGTAAACTGCGGCATTTATGCGTGCTTCATTGACTACAATAAAGCGTTCGATACAGTAAAGCACGACAAGCTGATGGAGATATTAACCAATATGGGAATAAACACCTGTGATTTAAGAATTCTCAGCAATCTGTACTGGAATCAAACATCATCTATCCGGACAGAGGCAGGAGAATCCGACGATATCAAAATCAAACGTGGCGTCCGTCAGAGATGTATACTATCACCACTGCTGTTTAACATATACTCTAAGGAAATCTTTAAGAAGCAGTGGGTGATGTTGAAGCCGGAATTCGAATCAACGGAGAATCTGTCAATAACATTAGATACGCGGACGACACAGTAGTATTCGCTGACAGTTCTGAAACCCTCCAGGAGTTAATTAACAGAATCACAGAGGTCAGTCAGAGATACGGACTTTCACTAAACACTAAGAAAACAAAATGCATTATGATCTCTAAGACGGAACAGCAATTTGGACAAATCAGTGTAAACGGTCAACAAATAGAAAGAGTAAAAACATACACTACCTTGAAACCAAGATCTGCATTTCAAAAAATGGCTAAGTTATTCAAATGTCATGATTTATCAATGCCCATAAAAATCAGGTTACTACGATGTTACATCTTTCCTATACTGTTGTACGGAGTTGAGTCATGGACTCTCACAGACGCCACTGCAAGAAAATTGAGGCTTTTGAAATGTGGCTTTATCGTCGCATCTGAAGATATCGTATACCGACCACGTTACTAATGAGGGTGTTCTGTTGAGAATGAAAAAAGAGAAAAGAGCTATTAACCACAATAAAAACAGGGAAAAGTAGAAGGAAAACGAGGACCAGGAAGGCGAAGGATTTCCTGGCTGAAAAATCTACGAACGTGGTTCAACACAACAACCACAAATCTTTTTAGAGCAGCAGTGTGCAAAGTGCAGATTGCCATGATGGTCGCGAACATCCGAAACGGATAGGCACTACAAGAAGAAGAAGTTAGGTCAGAAAATAATTGATAGTTGGTCATTTATAACCAAATAGTAGTATACAAACACCGTACAGGTGTTTGTACAAAAATTTTCTTACATTGACGCTGAAAATCGTGTTTTAACAGTTCTGCAGGTAGGTATGTCTCCAGGGCTACGCTGCACTATTATTTTTATCCTTTTTAATGTATTTTCCATTTTGTATTCAGATATACCAGCAACTTCGGTTTGCCTGTCTTTTATTTTGTAAGTTCGGGAAGAGATGATATTTTTCTTATAATAACTAATAACTAATATTTTACCCATTCATCCATGGGTATTATGTCCTTAATATTCCCCCTCCCCCATCCACCCTTGCTCTTAAGCTTTCGATTAAGCTTTATTTAAGCAATCTATTTTTTTACACTGCGTACAACTAAAACTGAACTAGAACTGAAATGCTTCTAATATAAACACAAATCTCATTTAATTACGTGGCTAGAGATTCTAAACCAAGGCTAAAATACAAAAAAAACATCTCCTCTGAAAATAGATATCGCTTCCTTCTATTTCTTCCATTTCGGTTTCTTTATTTGATTTCATCCCAATAAAACTGTCTTCAATTGAAACATCTAGGCACTAATAGGTTAATATAAAATATACCTGCCACTTTTTTTAATAACAACATAAAATTGACAAACTTAATTTATTGAACTAGATTAGACAATTTCCTGAAGATACATTATGCATTAGTTATAAAAAATTATTGTTATACAAATGTCTCATTACCAATAAACTAGCTTTTTTAAATCCTGTATAATCCGTATTGTCCATTACATCGCTGATATTTCCGCTTTGATCTTCTCCATCCAATAGTTCAGGCATTCCTGGAGCCTAAAAATATTGTCATATTTAAATTTGGTTTCAGAAAAACTATTGTAAACAAATCTACACAATTATCAATAATAAGCTTAGTGTAATTTCACATTAGCTTTTTTTTTCGTTTTCATATAGATATTTTAAAATTTCACACAGATATTTGACGTTGAAAAAGGTAGAAAAGGGTGTAAAGAAATGATCGCCAACCTTCGTTAGAAGGTAGAAGACGAGGCAATAAGAAGATTTTAAAATTAAATCATGTTCGTATTATATATATATATATATATATATATATATATATATATATATATATATATATATATATATACATGATAATAACAAAGAAAACAAATATACCAACAAACATACATTTGGGAAATGTACCGATAGACAAGGTTGATAAATACAAATACCTAGGAACCTAGATTTCAGACAATATATGATCAAACAACCGAAATAAGAGCTAGGATAGAAATAGCAAGAAATGCGTTTGTAAAAATGAAACAATTCTCTGCAAAAAGATCTTAGATTAGAACTGAGAGTAAGAGCACTGAGATGCTACGTGTTTTCGATACTGCAATATGGACTTGAAAGCTGGACATTGAAGCAAGAACACATAAATAAGTTACAGTTCTTTGAAATGTGGTGTTACAGGAGGATGCTTAGAATAGCATGGACACAGAAGAAAACTAACACGGAAGTATTGCGAGAAATGGACAAAGAATGCGAAATAATAAACACAATAAAAATAAAAAAGTTACAATATCTGGGACACGTAATGAGGGGACAGCGATATGAACTGCTAAGGCTGATAATACAGGAAAAGATAAGAGGAGGAAGGAGTATAGGAAGAAGGAGAGTGTCATGGTTGAAGAATTTAAGGGACTGGTTTAAATGCAGTTCTATAGAACTCTTCAGAGCAGCAGTAGATAAAGTAAAGATAGTGATGATGATATCCAACCTCCGAGTGGGAGACGGCACTTAAAGAAGAAAATTTAATTGCTATATGTATATTATTATATACGATGTTGGCAAGGCAATGAAGAAGTAAAAAGCCCAAAACCTATTAAACATTTGTAGTTGGATGGGTCTCAATGAAAGTTATTGCATTCTTTTCGTAAGAGCTTTAGGAAATTTTGTGATCTAAAATGATAGTGTCAAAATGAAAAATACGTTCATAAGCAGGGAAAATGCATTTTTTAAACTGATACAAAATGATAAATTTGTAATTCAACAAATGAATTCAATATTATTACTCGGAGGTTTTTGAAGTCGCTGAACACGAATATTATGACGAAGATGGTCTCATAAACACCTAATACTGGGAACAGAAACATAAAAAACAATTATTAGTTTCAAAAATTGTACAGGAGTTGCACATGTAACTAAAAATATGAAAATATAGCATTATAAAACATTTGTTCAAAATATTTATTTCTTGTACTAAATAAAAAAAATATATTTTATCTTAAAAAATAAGAATTCAATATTTATGTATAGTGTAACCTAACAGCATTTATTGGTGTTCTTTGATCCCAAAAATCCCCAAGTAACGAGTTTGCAATGATTTTGTATCGAATTTCCACAAAAATCTAGAAGACCTGGTCCAGCCTGAGCACCAGGTACATCGGAAACAATAGCCGACGAAATATTTGTGGTTAGCGACCTCAGAAACTCGGATGTAGTAATATTGAAATTATTTATTTCCTAATTACAAATTTATTATTTTGAATTCTTTCTGAATGTACTTTAGAAAGTGCCCTGTTGAAAGTGGTCCTGTTCAACAGTGTAATTTTCTGAAGCTATTTTCTTGTGGCATTGTAAATTAATTACTATTAAATGGGAATAAGCCACAATTAAAGATAAAAATACGTTTATTGACGTTTCAATTTCCACTTCGGAAATCGTTCTCAAAATACAAACAGTAAATTAAACAAATTTTGTTTTTTGTTACATAGTGAAAAATTCTTCTAATAATTTAATTTTATCTGACTCATTTATATTGACAATTCAGACATACATTATGCATTTTAAAGTAGACGACTTTAAAATGATATTGCCAATATTGTTGAGTTGCGCTCCTGGGACGACTTTACTTATAAGATAGTTCATTCGATTACATGAAATCAACTTTAACTTGAGAATATCCGTCAGAAAAAAATCATAGCATGTAATTCGTCTTTAAAAAGACAAACACATGACATGATGACAGTAAAATTCTCCTGTTAGTGATTCCATAGTAAATTATGAGGGAAAAACCAGGAAAAAAACCTCATAATACTATCCCGACATTGTAAGTATTTGTTCGTGAATTTAGTTTACCTTCAACAAACATCAAAATTCTGATTTTATATGTTACGTTATTTAAAAAACATAAATGATGTATCCTCTATATGTTACTGACTTACTAATACTGGTATTTTCTTATTAATAACTTCCTCTTTCAATATTGGTAACCAGATCCTACTACATTCTGCCGAGGAATTTGCGACACAATTGGCCTCATTTAGCATAATTAGAGCCGCTTCTTTGATTTTTCTTTTTTTACCATCCGTTTCTTTTAGGACTACATTTGAATTATTCCATTGAACCCTATGTTCATTATCCCATGCGTGTTTACAGATTTGAGATCTATCAAATTCTTTATTTTTAATATAAGATTGATGTTCACTTATTCTAACATTTAATGGCCTTGATGATTCACCTAAATAAAACTGATCGCATTCACAAGGTATTTTATAAATGCAATTCTTTGTCCTTTCTTGTTCATTGTTAGGTTTGGTTTTGGACAAAATAGATCTCAACGTGTTTGTTGTTTTGAATGTTGTTGAAATGTTGAATTTATTTCCTATCCTTTTAAGTTTTTCTGATAGTCCTTTTATGTACGGTATTGTTATTTTCCTCATATTATTCCTTGTGTATGCTGTAGGATCTCGTTCTAAGTTGTTCTGTTCTATTCGATCGATTGTTGAAAATTCCTTATTTATAAACGATACAGGATAATCATTTTTTAATAAAACAGATGTTAACAAATGTTTCTCCTCCAAGAACGAATTTTCGTTAGAACAAGTAATTTTGGCTCTATCGTATAAGGATTTAATTATTCCCTTTTTTACATTAATATTATGATTTGATTTGAAATTTAAATATCTATTGGTGTGTGTTGGTTTTCTATACACCTGAGTCTCATATCCAGTATCGTTCTTAGAGATTAAAACATCCAGGAAAGGTAGCGTGTTATTATATTGTCTACTTTAAAATGCATAATGTATGTCTGAATTGTCAATATAAATGAGTCAGATAAAATTAAATTATTAGAAGAATTTTTCACTATGTAACAAAAAACAAAATTTGTTTAATTTACTGTTATGTATTTTGAGAACAATTTCCGAAGTGGAAATTGAAACGTCAATAAACGTATTTTTATCTTTAATTGTGGCTTATTCCCAGTTTAATAGTAATTAGTGTAATTTCTTTTCGTTACTTGAGTTTTAAACATTTCCTAACGCTCTTAAAAACCGAATGCAACAAATTCTATTGAGAACCATCCAATTGCAAAAAATTGGTGGGTTTTATGCTAAAATTTTTAAAGAACTTGGATATAAATTTAAAAATCCTATTATTGATACATGAAAGACTTATGACTATCTAAAAAACAAGAAAAAATCCTCTAATAGTGAAGACATACGTGTAGCTGTAAATAAAGAGAAAAATAAACACCTTAAGCAAGCAGGGACTGCCTATAATAAAAAAAGCAGAAATAGAGTTCTCCAGAAGTAGTATCGTAAAATGTTTTTTTAGTATTTGACTTATAACAGAACCAACCAACACCCAATTTAAGCGCAAATCTAGTCTGCTATAAAAGATTGCTCTGGACATATAAAACCTCATCATTATAAATTGCACTAAAAATACCACTTCATGTTTCATGTGGCATGAGGGCTTCTCAGACCGTTGATCAGATCAAGATCCTGGAAGTGGGTCATAGTAAAATGGAATGTGATGTCAATCATGTGAGAATTGAGCGTGCCAAAAAATCGTCACAAATTTAAATAAGGATACCTCATGACTGGTTTCAGTTTGTTAGAACTGTTTCTAGTAGGAAGAAATTTTAAGTTATCGAAATTCAGAGCAAAGGTTTTTAGCATATTCAAAACTTTTCCAAAATATCTATGTAAAGTGTGGAAGTGTGGATAAAGAAAATTATGTGAAATGGCATGATATAAAAGTTCTACGTTTAAGTAAACAGTTGGGTGTTATACGCATTAAATATTCACATAAGGACGTTGACGTTTCTAGACTTAATATTAAACGCAGAGGACAGCAGATGGGTCCTACATTAGAACCTGTTTATAGTGAACCTAAACCCATAAAACATCAAAAAAGGAAGACTTGCTTTTCATGTGCAATACGTTGATCCAGTGTACCATCCATTTTACCACGAACTTGAGACTAGTGAAAATATTAATGATGGAATTTAATGTTTTATTTTAAAATGATAAAAATTCCTTTTTTATGTAGATTAATAACAGTGAATAAAAATAATTTTGCCAGGAAATTTTGACATTCCTGTCAAAATTTCTTGAAGAAAAAGTCAGGACTTCCTTACTGTAAGGAAATGTCATTTCCTTACTGTAAGGAAATGATATTTCCGTACAGTTGTTAGTGTTCTACATAAATGATAGAAAACACATTGCTTATAAGGAATTAATTTATATTTTGAAAACATCAAGTCATTGCTGAATACATTTTTAAGATCAATTGTTATATTGACAGATAATTTCATCATACTTATCATTTTACTTTCGAGAACACCAGCAATTAAATTTATAAGCGTCAAGTTTGACAATTCAACCTCAATACGTTTCCATAGTAACCCAAGTAATTTTATTAGGAATTTCAAAGCACCATTTATTTGGGAATAAAATTATCGCGTTTTTTTTAAATCAATCAATATCTGTCGAATTTTAAACGATTTGCGGAAAAATAGTATGTTTACCTCGTAGGAAAAGCCACATTCCTGGACTCTGTGTTGCTAAGTCTCGGCTTGCGCCTCGACTTAGCAATCTTCACAGTCGTCCAGGAATGTTAAGGCTGTGTTATTACATTACTCGTTTCAACGTGATTTATACTGCAGTTTAAATTTATATTCCATAAATTGGTTAATTTTAAATTATTTATAAATTGATTAAAACTAACTATATCTATCAAATATCGAAGTTTTAATTTCAGTATAAATTTCTTCATTTTTTATTTTGCCATTATGATATTCAAAAATTTTATATAGGTACTTCACTTTGATAAGATATGTCTAAATGTGTATCTTAGATATTTGTCAAACCATGATATGTTAGTTAAATTCGTTTTCACAATAGAATTTCCAATATTAATATACACTATCAGTTTAAGCAGCATTTTATTTACTTATAGTATACGAAATTTCATAAAAATCTAAGAAATTTTAATCAAGTAAAAAATAAACACAAATTGCCATGCAGATTTAATAGAAATATAGATTTTTAATTTCGCTCTACTCAAAACTTGTTCTATTTGGCATAACAAATTTTGGCAAATATTCAATTGGTTTCATGTGGTCGAACACTATTATGCAACCAACAATACAATTAAGACCAATGCTGGCCCAAGTATCATGATTATTAAGAGTTATAAAATTCTAAAAAACTGCTATTTTTTTATCATAAATATATAAATTTTTAAATCAATATAACATTGGTCTATTTTACCTATTCTTAAGTTTCTCGTTGTCCTCATCTTTTTCAAATTCAATTAGTATAAAAAAACCAAAATCTTTTTAATAAATAAAAAAATAAGAAATTATATTTTTCGAAAAACAATTAATCGTGGTAATCAACACATTCAAATCTTTCTAAGGTGCGTTATCACGAGTCAAGTTTAGTTGGACAAATAATATATGGATAACTGACTGCTCAGTTTCAGCTTACAAGCAATAAATTCTCATAGAGAAATATGACATTAATTAAGTAATTACTTAATTAGTTGAATTGTAATACCAATTTTACTTTATCTGATTCAAATTAAAATTACTATAATGTTTATTGCACTATGTGTATGTATCAATAATTCTAAAGGCCCAAGTTGTTGTTCACTAATGAAAAGGTATCAACCTTTTTTCAACAACAATGTTCAATAAATAGCGGTCATTTGGACCGGTGCGACTATGCAGATCTATGCAGGCGGATATATGTGGTGCAGACTATGAGCAAACTATGGTGCAGAACATTATAGCAATTTTCATAATATAAAAACCTGCAAAAGAACTTACTTCACTTGGATCCAAGAATTTACTACTCCATATCATTAAACCCATAAACATACCATATATGATTTGTTGTTTCCATTCTTTTTTTATTTCTGTAAATGGCAAAACTGTTTCTGCATTACACCCATACTCCTTTAATGTCTCACTAAGACTTTTATAATAGATGTCAAGGAAATTATCCAAATTAGATATGCTGTCCTCATCAGCTCCTGAGTAGAAACAATATGACAGATCCAAAACAGGTGAGCCCACCGCAGTCAGTTGGAAGTCGAATAATTTAAGATCTTCTATATCTCCCGATTTCTAAAACAATAATCTGTATTAGATTTTTTAATGTTAGAATTAGCTTATCAACTAATAGGTCTGTTATGTAATGCAACACTACTGATCGGATAAACAGATGATGTAAAATAGAATAGTAGAAAATAAATAATTATAAATAAACAAGTCAATGTAGTAAGAATACAAAAAACTGTTTAACTTAAAGAGTTTGTAAAGTTCTCAAAAACTGTAAATTTTCTTAATATCTTCGTCAAAATTAGAGAGTCCCACAATGATCTGTATTAACCCTCATAGTAGCAGGTTTTTTTTGTGACACGTAATACCAGGTGGGTCAATAGTGGCTCCAAAAAAAAGTAGTTGTGTGATAATGCTTACAAACAAATCGATTGCACTTCTGATATCTGTGGGAGTATTTTCTGTCAAATTTCTGGAGCATTTCCAACATCTATCACGTTTTAATTCTCCAGATTTTTTAAAATGACCTAGTGATGTAGAAGCTTTATCTGCATCTTTATCTTTTTTTGTTTTCTACTCTTTGTTTAGATGACACCATATAATATTATAAGAGTTCAATGAGCTAATCTAAGACATATTAAAAAAACTGTCACAAGTCATCTTTTTCTTTGCGTTTGACTGTGTACGTTCGGACAAGCTAGTCCAACGTGTTTTCACCTGGCTTTGTTATACCACTATTATGGATAGTTGATAGCAAAGTTACAATTTTTCCTTTTTGTTCTGGCAATAGGAGGCTTTATGTTGCTAACCAAATTTTGCTGAATATAAATCCCTACTACGTGAATTTAATAGTTCCTGAGGAAGTACTGGTTTATTTTTTCGTTGTTACAAGCAATGTTAAATTTTGCTTGTCCAGTTGTTTTGCAAAATCAAGGCTTGTACAAATTGTTAGTTGACACATTTCTTCTTAATCTTATATTCTTCTTATTGATTTGTTTTCTTTCTTCTTCTTCATGTACCATGTCCTTTCAGAACGTTGGTTACCATCATAGCTATTTTAATTTTATTCACTGCCACCCTAAATAGCATGCTTGTATCTACACCATACCAATCTCGCAAGTTCTTCAACCATGAGGTTCTTCTTCGTCCTGGACTGCGTTTGCCTGCTATTTTTCCTTGCATGATATTTTGTAGCAATCTATATTTGGGACCTCTCATTACATGTCCGAAATATTCCAGCTTTCTCTGCTTGATGCTTTTTATGATCTCAGTAGTCTTGCTGAGACGTTCTAGTAATGTGGAGTTACGAATCTTCTCCACCCAGGAAACTTTTAAAATTCTTCTATAGCACCACATTTCGAAAGCCTCAAGGCGATTTAGATCGATTTTATTCACAGTCCAGGACTCGACAGCATAAAGTAAGACCGAGAACACGTAGCAGCGAAGTAGGCGGATCCTTAATGCCAATTTTAGGTCTCTGTTACATAACACCTTGGACATCCTTCTAAAAGCAGCTCTAGCCTGCTCTATTCTGGATCTAATTTCGCCGTGATTTTCTGCATTACAATTTAATTGCTGTCCAAGGTAGACGATTTTATCAACTTGCTCAAGTTTGGTATTATTTACATATATAGACGGTTTTATATTCTGTTGTTTACTTATTACGAGTATTTTGGTTTTCCTTATGTTAAGATCCAGACCTGCCTCCCTACAACTCTCAACGACACTATCAATTAGTGTTTGTAGATCTTCTTGACTAGAAGCTAGGAGTACTGTATCGTCCGCATATCGCAAATTATTGATGATTTCGCCGTTCACAAGTATTCCTTCTTGTTTTTCAGAAAGTGCTTTTCTGAAAATTCTTTCGGAGTAAACGTTAAAAAGCAGGGGTGACAAGAGGCATCCCTGCCGTACTCCTCTTTTAATATTGAGAGCTTGTGATTCCACACCATCTACTAAAACTGATGTTGTTTGATTCCAATATAAATTTGCAATTATTCTGCCGTCCAAGCCAATGTCTTTTAGAGCTTCGATCAATTGTTTTCTTTGCACTTTTAATTATTATTTTGTTAAAGTGATATAAGGTTGAATGCTCGAATAAATGAACTTTTATCAAATGAAAGGAAGATATCGAGCACAGTTTATTAATTAAATCTTGCCTAAGTACTTTCGTCAACTTTGGAACATACGCATCCAACAATCTACTGAGAATTTTATAAACATAAAATTGTACATCAACACTAGTGTAACACCTAGTAATAATACAGCCTATTTTCAAATTCTGCACGAACTTTGGCAAATGTTGTTCTAGTAATAACGCGACATGCTTGCGTAATTCTTTCTCGCAATTCCTCAAGTGACGCAGGTTGAGTTTTATAAACAACTGGCTTGGGATAACCCCATAGAAAAAATAGCCAGGTGGCGGTATGTCTGGTAACTTTGGTGGCCAAGTAATAGGACCTCTCCTTCCAATCCATTTGTTAGCATAATTAGTATCCAACCAATGCCTAACTGGAGCTGCATAGTGAGGAGGTGCTCTATCTTATTGGAAGTGCAGCAAATCTTCGTCTAGAGCTAGGTTGACTTGATCGTCCCTTTGGTTCTGTATTTCATGCACAATAAAAGGTTTGATGGTGTTTTCCAGCATATCGAGATAAATGTCGCCACATAAATTGCCTGGCATGAACAAGGAGCCCATTATAGCATCGCCTAATATTCGTGCCTAAACATTCAGTTTTTCAGTATATTGAGCGTGGCCTTCTCTGAATCGATGCAGGTTTGCATCAATCCAGAACAGACAGTTTCGTTTATTTGCATCATTACCATTCAGCATTTCAACAAGTACATTTATCAGTAAAACAAATATTCTTTAACATTCTTAGTTTAACGCGAATTCTGTCAGTTATGAGTTCAAAAAACTCAATTCGTCGGTCTGGATCATCATCGCCTAGGTCTTAAAGAATTTGTGTTTTGTACAGGTAAAACTGATGTATTTCAACACCTTTCTAACCGACTCATGTAAAAGTCCTGTCATTGCAGATACTTGACGTATCTGGGACATTTAATGAGGGGCGAGAAGTACGTATTACTGAGGTTGATTATGCAAGGGAAGATACAAGGGAAGAGAAACCCAGGACGACGCAAATTGTCCTGGCTAAGAAATTTGAGAGAGTGGTTCGGCTGCAGCTCATTAGAATTATTCAGAACTGCGGCCAACAAAGTTAAAATAGCGATGATGATTTTCAACCTCCGCTAGGAGAAGGAACCCGAAGAAGAAGAAGACGTGTTGATCAGTAGGCTTTATTGCAAAATTTCCAAGGACCTTAATTTGGAATGCTTTATTCAGTAATCTTGGAGCATCCCTTTTTTTATTTTGCACTGATCTTGTTTCTCTAAACTTTTAACTAAATCACGGACGTACACGTGACTAAAATTTTTGTCTGACTGCCTTTCATGAAATATTTGAGCTATTCGACAATCTGACAGAACCCAAAAAACAGATTTTTTCAAGTTGTTTTGCAAAAACGGAAAATGCAGTTTTTATTTATCAAAAAAAAAAAGATCAGACGGGCATCATTAAAAGTAATAGTCCGGGAAATAGCATTACAAATACAAAAGCAATAGTAAGCCGGCTGATTAATATTAAACAATAATCCTACATGGTCATCAACAGAATAAACAAAAACCTCATTAAATTTTCCATTTGATCCAAAGTTTCAAAATTAGTGCTTCACCCTGTATAATTAATATTTATACCATTGGATAGCATTTTTTATAGTCTTTTCAATGATGTATCACAAGTAGAGGTTTGCAATTTAAACTTTTTTGGTTGTAATGGGTGGGGTTTTGGATGGGGGTGAGTTCTCTTTCATGTCATTTTGGTTTCCCCTACTTATTCTAGAAACGGTTTTAAGCATTTCCGGATATTAGATTTTGTTCGTGAGATATAGACCACTGTAAGTTTTAAAATTTGACACGCTGTATATTATACAATTTGCAGTAAATATTAGTGAAGCGTATTTTATAAATAAAATAAAATACAGGAGATTTGAGTTAAAAAAAATCATATCTTTGATGCAGTACATTATTATAATTGTAATTTATCTATCTAATTAGCCTTCTTCGGTCCATCTTTGGACATAGGCCTCCCCAATCCTTTTCCATTCTTCTCTGTCTGTCGCTACAGTCATCCATCTAGAGCCCACGTGCTTCTTGATATCATCTGCCCATCTCATTTGGGGCCTTCCTCTGCTTCGTTTATATTCCCACGGTCTCCAACTTATAAGAATTTTGTTCCATCGGTCTTCTTTTTGTCTTATATTGTGTCCGGCAAATCTCCATTTCAATTTTGCAACTTCTTGTCTAACATCCCTCACTTTTGTTTTCTCTCTTATCCACTCGTTTCTCTTCTTATCCATTAGTCTTATGTGCAACATTTGTCTTTCCATTGCTCTTTGGGTTTTTATGATTTTGTCCATGTTTGCTTTTGTAAATGTCCACGTTTGGGAGCCATACGTAAGAACAGGGAGTACGCATTGATTATATACTTTGGTCTTAAGATGCTGTGGATATCTTTTGTTTTTAAGAATGTAGCTTAGTTTGCCAAATGCCGCCCATGCCAGTCTAACTCGTCTCTTGATCTCTGCTGTTTGGTTCTCTTTGTTAAGTTTTATAGTTTGACCAAGATATATATAATCCTTAACTTGTTCTATTTCATCTTGTCCGATTCTCATTGTGATGTCTTCATCTGTATTTGTTATAGTTTTGGTCTTGCTGTAATTCATATTAAGGCCTATCTTTCCAGCTTCTACGTCCAGTTCTTTCATCATTTCAAATAATTCTTCTTTTTTATCGGTTATCAATACGATGTCATCAGCGTACCTTAGATGGTTCAAGCGTTGTCCACAAATTTTTATACCTTTTTTTTCCCATTCTAATCTTTTAAAAGTATCTTCAAGAGCCTGATTGAAAAGTTTCGGTGATATTGTATCACCCTGTCTCACGCCTCTACTTATTTGTAATGATTTTGTTCCTTCATATACTTTAATTGTTGTTTTGGCTTCCTTATATATATATTGGTTATTAGTTCCGTATATCTGTGGTCAATTCGGCTGTTAATCAAAGAACTTTTCACTGCCCAATGTTCGACACTGTCGAAAGCCTTTTCGAAATCTATGAACGCCATATATAGAGGAATGTGGTATTCATTTGCTCGTTCTATAAGTATTTTCATACTTAGTAAATGGTCACTTGTGCTGAATCCCTTTCTAAAACCAGCTTGTTCTTTCGACTGGTATCCATCGAATTTTGTCGTCAATCTATTGGTTAAAATTTTTGTTAGGAGTTTATACATTACATTGAGGAGTGTTATAGGACGGTAGTTTTTTATATCTGCTTTATCCCCTTTCTTGTGTAGGATAATGGTTACTGATTCCTTCCAGTTGTTTGGGATTCTTTTTTCTTTTAATATCCTGTTAAAAAGGGAATGTAGAGTATTAATTACCACTTTTCCACCATATTTCAGCATCTCTGTAGTTACTCCATCTTTTCCAGGCGATTTGTTGTTTTTTCATTTCTTTCAATGCCTTCTTTATTTCTGATTTGCTTATTTCGGGCTGCAGCTCTGAGTTGACATTTTTTATTTTGACCTTAAGTTGGTTTTTAATTTCTTCTGGTGGTTCCTTTTTTGTTTTATATAATTCTGAGTAGAAATGGTGGATTATATTTATGATGTCATCTTTAAAGTTTGTTTCTATTCCATTTACATCTTTTATTTTGTTTATTTCAAACTTACCTAATTTCGGCCTTAAGCATTTCATATTTTTGTTGTTTTGTATTACTTCTTCTATTTTTATTTCTTGTTCTTTTTCTCTTATTTTCTTTTATCATTCTGCTTATTGTTTTATTAATTTCTACATATTCTATAGATTTCCTTTTGCCTTCTTCGTTCAGCTTCCTTCTTTTATCCATAAGCTTCTTTGTTTCTGTTGATATATAGTTGTTCTTTTTTAGATCCTTCTTTGCTATTTCTTTTCCTGATGTAATCATTGTTGCTGTAAGTATGTTGTCTATTTCGTCTATATCTTTATCGTCACTGTCTAATCTTTGGGTAAGTTGTTTTTTTAATAGGTCTTTGTATATCTCTTTATATTGACCTAGTTTGTTTCTATCTACTAGATTCCAGTTTCTATGTTTTTAGATTCCTGTGATCGCTACCTGTTGTGAATCTGTTAAGAACTGTTACATCTTTAATGATATATCGTTCCGTGGACAGTATGTAGTCGATCTCATTTTTTGTGGATCCATTAGGGCTGATCTATGTCCACTTTCGTTGGGGCTTCTTTTTGTAAAAGGAGGTCATTGCGTATAGATGCTTTTCTTCTAGGTAGTTCATCAAAGTATCACCTCTATCATTTCTCTGGCCATACCCGAAATCTCCTATTTTAGTTTCTTCTTTGTTTAGTTTTTTTTATAATTGTAATTAATTTTAAAACATAAATCTTACTGTAAGTTTATTGATATTTCGATTTCCACTGTGGAAATCTCATTCTCACAATACAAGTATTCGTAAATTAAACAATTTGCTTTTCTTTTGTATTTTGAAAACGATTTTCGAAGTGGAAATTGAAACGTCAATAAACTTACTTTAATCTTTAATTGTGGCTTATTTCCATTTAAATACTAATTACTTTAAACTGCCACAAGACAGTGGCTTCAGAACAATATGAATCTTACCTCTGAGTTTTGTAACTTACATATTTAACTGACTTTGTCGCAAAAGCAAATCATTCTGTACAACTAGAAATGCCAAACGCCAGTCATGGACTCAATATGTATCAACGTTAAATGCAAATACTTCCATGACTGAAGTATGGAACAAAGTCCGAAGAATATCCGGATTGAATAGTAATCAGAATATCAAAAGCCTCGAAGTAAATGGAAAGGCAGTTACTAGTAATACTGAGATTGCCAAAATCCTTGCTAACACATACAAAAACCGATCCAGTAATATTAATTATAAAAAATCTTTCATTAAATACAAACAGCAAGAAGAAAATAAGAAAATTAGCGTTATACCTAATACAGATGAACCGTTAAATTTACCCATTTCTGAATTAGAGTATACAGAAGCATTATCAAATCTCAAAGAAACTAGCGCTGGACCGGACGATATTCCTAGTAATTTTATCAAACACCTTCCAGATAGCGCTCACAAACAACTTCTAAATCTGTTTAATATTATTTGGCTACAGCACAAATTTCCTGAAAAATGGCGTGAATCCACAGTTATACCTATACAAAAACCTAATAGTATTAAAACAAGTTCCGAGTCATACCGACCGATATCTTTAACATGCGCCATGTGTAAGTTACTAGAAAAAATTATTAATAATAGACTAAGATGGCACCTGGAGAGACAAGATTTAATTATTCCAGAACAAAGTGGTTTTAGACAGCAAAGGTCAACCATAGATAATATCATAGATTTGGAAAGTGACATTTCTGAAGCATTCGCACTAAGGAATAAATGTCTAGCGGTTTTCTTTGACATATCAAGAGCTTTCGATACAGCCTGGCACGATTATATATTAAAAAAATTACATCGTTGGAACATTCAAGGTCACTGTTTCTTCTTTATTAAAAACTTCCTTTAAAATAGAGCTTTCAGAGTTAGGACAAACAACACAACATCAGATATAATGTATCCAGAAAATGGCATTCCTCAAGGCTCGGTAATAAGTCCTACGCTCTTTATAGTGGCAATGAATGATATTCTCATAAATCTAAAATCACCTATAAAGGCACGCGTCTACGCGGATGATCTTGTAGTTTTCTGCAAAGGTAAAAATATACAAAACATATTTGATCACACACAGAACTTCATAAAACACTTAGAACTCTGGTCACAAAAAACAGGTTTCTGTTTTTCCACTGAAAAAACTCGTTTCATCCTGTTTTCTAAGAAAAATGTCACAAACATCCCTAACCTAAGACTATGTGATGAGGACCTAAAACGTGTAACGTCAATAAAATTCTTGGGCATGACATTTGAAGAAAATCTAAGCTGGAAACTTCATATAACAAATTTGATCTTATCTTGTCACAAGCGATTAAATCTTCTTAAAACTCTGGCCAATAAAGAATGGGGTGCGGATCGCCAAACACTTTTAATGTTATACAGAACATTAATCAGATCAAAATTAGATTATGGATCTACTGTGTATTCTACAGCCACTAAGACACTGCTAAAAAAACTTGACAGTCTTCACAACCTATCTTTACGTATAATATCTGGAGCTTTTCGCACAACACCAATCGAAAGTATTTATTGTGAAGTTGGTGAACCGTCCTTAGAAGACAGAAGACTTTATTTAAGTGTAGCATATGCCGCAAAAATCAGGTCTAACCCAAAAAACCCTACCATTAACAATTGTTTTACAGAAAAGTTTCCAAATCTCTTCATAAATAAGCCAAGAACTGCCAAACCTTTCTACGCAAGGATTAGAAGCTATTTAAATCAATTAAACTACACGTTCCCAGAATGCTTTTCTTCCCAATTGTCCTCAATTCCTCCATGGCAAATAAAGAATCCTCAGTGCCTAACCCGCCTCATTTCTTTCGACAAACATTCAACAAACCCACAGTTATTCAAATCCGCCTTCAACGATATGCTTCACAACTACAAGGACTATACACATATATACACAGATGCATCTAAATCAAATGAAGGTACTGGTGCTGCAATCATAACCCCAACATCGACAAATAAATATAAACTCCCTTCAGAGTACTCCATTTACTCTGCTGAACTGTATGCTCTATACCAGGCTACCCTTGCTGTCAATGCATCCAATAACACCAATTATATCATACTCACAGACTCTCTAAGTTCAGTCCAGTCAATCCAATATGTCTACCCAACTAATCCTTTAGTCATCAAGATAAAAGAAGAAATCCACACCGCTCAACTGAATGGAAAAAATATTATATTATTTTGGATACCATCCCATATTGGAATTCCAGGAAATGAAGAGGCAGACAACGCTGCAAAAGAAGCTGCAAGTAGTGATAGTGCGGAATGTACTAAGACATTTACGAGTGCGGACGTGAAAGCAACGGTTAAATTTAAAGTGCGATATATGTGGAATGAAAAGTGGAAAGTGTCATCGGCAAAGCTACGCGATGTAAAAAAATCGATTAAACCCTGGCCCACATTACCAACAAGTCGAAGAGACCAGGTAATATTAACGCGACTTCGACTGGGTCATACGCGACTAACGAATAGCTACGTGTTCTCTAACAAACAAGAACCAAGATGTGACAACTGTGATGAAAAAATAACAGTCAAACATATATTGGAAAAATGTCCAGCATTAACGCCAAAGCGCATATTGTACAGTATACCCAACAAACTAAGTGACATTTTAGGTTTACAGTGCAATATTTCAAACATAAAAAGTTTCTTAACCTCACTTAATATTTTAAATGCTATCTAAACTAATATTATAAATGTAATAAAAATTATTGTTCGCTAATAGCCAATTTGGCTGATGCCATTTTTGTTAATAATAATAAAAAAAAATCATTCTGTCAACTAAATAATATACTTACATTGTATTTGAACATCATATTATTACTCCAACAATCTCCGTGGATAAAAACTGAATACGGACTTTTGTGTGCAAGTGCATCAAGGTACATTTGAACACCGTTATCACAATATTTTTTAAAACTCTCGATAATTTTTATTTCATTTTCCTCTTCTAAAAATTCTTTTACCTTATTGAAACAACCGCTAATTACTGATTTAAACAAACCTACAAAAATTAAACATAATAATCAAAATAAAAAGTAAAATATTGTTAGTAAAAATAGATGTTGTAGTCCGTTCGCTAATCCCAGTCAAAACTGTCAACTAAATTTAGTTATTATTTTTTTTGCGAAGTAGGTTACATTTTGACAGAAATGGCGGAAAATTACTATACAACCAAGCTCCTCAGACAAGCTCATACCCAATATAAATTGTAAATAAACATTTATTTACATTTGGTTTTCACAAATTTTGTTTATATTACATTTTAGTATAAACAAAATTTTACTAATTTGTTAAATTAATAACAAATACCTTTTCTAATCTAATATCTAAGTTTATAAACATGGTACTTCAGCAAAAGAAAAACAAAAACAGAATCCATGACAAACCTAGTACCTAAAGGAAATATCAATATTGGAGACAACGAAGTAGAGCTGGTGGAAAAATACATATATCTTGGACATGAAATAAAAATCACAACCAAACATGCGAACTACGAAGAAGAATTAACCTATTATGAGCAGCCTATGGTAAAGTAAAAGACATCTTTCAAAGCGATATACCAATTTCTTTAAAACGTAAAACATTTGATCAATGTGTGTTGCCTGTGATGACCTATGGGGACGAAACTTTGACATTGACAGCTACAAGTTCTAAAACGCTGCAAATAGCTCAGAGGAAAATGAAAAGATCAATGCTGAGTATATCGCTTCGTGACCGAGTTCGAAATGAAGACTTAAGACGAAGAACAGGAGTTACCGATGTAATTTCCCGAATTGCCACACTGAAATGGAACTGGGCCGGACACGTCGCCCGAATCAGTGATGAAAGGTAGACGAAGAGATTGCTTGAGTGGAGGCCGAGGTTAGACAAAAGAAGTAGAGGAAGACCCCTACTTGTTGGACTGACGATCTCAAGAAAATGTCAAGAAATTGGATAAAAAGTGCTCAAGATAGAGCACAAATGACAAAAATTAGGGAGGTCTAGATGATGATGATAATGATGAACTTCAACAAAAAAGGCTTTTTGATAATTAACCTAGGGACTTCATTTTGAAAGATTTTATTACTTATTTTAACATGCAGATAGAAATTCTTAATTCTTTACCTGCTGAAAAATATTTTTTAAACTGACGAAGGTCTACTAAACTTAACGAAACCACGTGATTTATATTTTCATGGTTACTGCATAACCACAAAACTCGTTTTCAATGTTTTGCAGATTTTTATTAAATTCGGTAAACGCGCATCTGTCGCCGTTTAAAACATTACTACTGCCCACGGTTTGTTGACTTACTACGGTTGCCTCTTCCAACTAACCAATGAGGATTAAGCCTGAAACTGTACTCTCGTGACGTAATTAACATTATTATTACGATAATACACAATGAAATTTTAAAGTTTTAACCTACCTTATAAAAAGATACGAAGAAAATAGGTACGATGTACAACTAGAATATAGGAAAACAGTCAAAGCCATAGTAGGTCTTCTAACAGGGCACTGTAAGCTGAATAGGCACTTGAAGCTAATGGGATTATCAGATGATGACCTGTGCAGATTCTGTCACCTCGAAGAAGAAACGGCAGAGCACATTTTATGTCAGTGTGACAGTCTGGCAAATGTGCGGTTTTTTGCATTAGGAGAAGAAAATCCACCGGCAAACAGCTACATGGAAGGTACAGTCTCGAAGCTACTAGACTTTATAAAGAGGGTCAGGCTAGAGAATGTTGTCTAGGACTAGAGGGCCACAATAGATCTGAAAAGGTCGCAGTGGAATAGGCCGAAAGGCCACCTCTCTTAATCTAATCTAATCTAAACAACTAGAATAAATAACGTTTTCTTCAATAATTCAAAATAAACTTTGACGGTATACAAAGCAACTATCGAACACGGTGATTAATTTAATCTTGCCCAAGTACTTTCGATCAATAGATCATCTTCAGGGGCATTTCGTCAGTTGTGGCCTATCCGACATGAGTAGAATGTCATAAATGTAAATTTGGACATAACAATACAAAATACAATACACAAAGACAAACAAACACTTTAAAATTTTTTGAAAAGGAGAAGCTACATGTTGTATAGAAGCCGGAGACTTCATTCTGTCTGGTGCCACATTGTGCCTTCATTTGTCACATGGTGTCAAATTTCAGGTAAATTTAAAGGCGAAGGCAAAATCAAAAATTTACTGCTTTCTTTGGAAATTTTAACTTTATATTGAAAATAGAAAGTTTACTGTTTACTATATAATTAAAGTGGAACTTCATTAAAGTTGAAGTCTACTGCAACAATAAGACAATACCGTGAGATATTCAACAGTGAATTTAACATCGCAACGTTTTTTAAACCAAAAAAAGACCAGTGTGTCTTCTGTCATGTTTACCAAAATGCACGCGAAGACGAAAAAACAGAGATGGGTCTGAATTGCACTAACCATATTGCTAATAAGACTGTTTTAAGGCAACTTAAGGAAAGGAATAAAGAGATCGCTAAAAATTTAATGGAAATTATAGTTGCTTGTTACGACTTGCAGAAAGTTCTCACCACACCTCAATCTGAACTGTCAATGTTTTACTACAAACGAAAATTATGCGTTTATAATTTCACAATATATGTGGTATGAAACCAGAGGAAGAAAGGGAGCTAACGAAATAAGTAGTATAAGTAGTAGCAGTGTTTATAATTTAATTGCAACTAATGTTTTAAAAGAATATAAAATTTTTATATTTTATAGTAATAATTGCTGAGGACAAAATAGAAACAGAATAATATTTGCGACGTATTCTTTTGCAGTTGAAAAATTTTCTATAAACATAACGCACAATTATTTTAAGGTAGTTCATTCCCAAAATGAGGTAGATTCCATGCACGCCTTAATAGAGCGACGTAGAAAGAACCAAACAGTTTTTATTCGCGAACAATGGATAAGCTTAGTAAGATGTGCAAAAATAACAGGTAAATTGAACTACAAAAAGACAATATATTTGATTTAAAAAACTTATGACAACATTTCCAAATTGGTATACCGGGTGGTGAATCGTCAAACGGGCCATAGGAAACTCAATGGGAAATTTTAAATTGTTGAATTGCTGCTTCCCTAATTATTTTAGATCAAAAGTCATAAAAAACTATTTGTAGAGGACTAAATTCTGAATTAAAAACAAATGTTAAAACCGTTCTACGAATCAAATGTACTTCAAAATTTTGCAAAAATATAATAGATTTTTCAGACCACCCCTAATAGTTAGGCCACACGTAATACAAGAATATATTAAAAAGTGTGTGTTCTATCCATTTATCATATCGATGTCAGATGTTTGACAATTTGAATTGTCAATTTTTTTTATTTTATGATTAAATTATAAACAATGAATTTTACTAAATACTACTACTACTGAACAATATTACTTTGTGAACAATAAATTATATTGTTTACAAATCGATCAATATAATGAAATGTACTCAGTTGACGAAAAATCGCATAATGTTGTATTCAGGCAATAGCGCGAACCTTTTCCTGTCACTACCGGATCTTTATTTAACGTAAGATATTCTAATACACTAAAATTTAATTCCATGTTAAGTTAAGTTATACAACAATTCAATGAATTCCAATATACTGTTACTGTGATCTTTATTCCTAATAATAATATATGATAATTTCTAAACATAAAACTATAACAAATGTTATAATAAAACATGAATAAAACATTTTTATTATTGCTCTTTTCTCCTTAACTGAGTACATTTTTTAATCAACTTAATTTTTCTTTTAAATAATAAATCACAAAATTTTGGCCATTTAAATCATAGATAAATATAATATAGTTGATTTAAATATTGTCAAATATTAGAAACGTCAATATGACAAAACGCAACACGTAATACACATTCTTTTCACGGCGTCTGGCCTGACTTTTAGGGGTGGCCTGAAAAATGTATTATATTTTAGCAAAATTTTGGAATACGTTTAAGTCGTAGAACAATTTTAACAATTGTTTTCGATACATATTTGAGTCCTCTACAAATAGTTTCCCATGACTTTTGGTGTAAAATAATTAGGGAAGCAGGAATTCAACAATTTAGAATTTCTCATTGAGTTTCCTATGGCCCGTTTGACGATTCACCACCCTGTATAAACCAAGAATATGAAAAACATTTCTGGAACATGGCGAAACACATAAATATTTCTGAAACAAATCCTGGCGCGTGAATATTCAATATGATTTCATATCCGATAATAAAATTAAGTTAAACTTGCTATAGAAACCTATCTCCAGGAAACAAAAAAGGTTAGCAACTTCTAGTAAAGGTCTTTCTAAGAATCTACATCTAGCATATTCATATTATTTAGGGATAACGAAAGCAAAATATGATGATCTGCAGAGTTTATGTCGAAGCCAGTGCATTCCTGTCACTTACCAAGATTATTTTAAAAATCTCCAGTTGATTGCAAAAACATTATTCAAGACAGCGATATGGAAGACTAGACATGAATAAATATGGTAATTTTAAATTTAATTCGAATTTATATTTAGTTTGTACTAAAATTTGCATTTTAAAAACTATCTAATGTTATTATTGCTTAACCTACAACGAGCAATAATTTGAAATTCATATTAACTTTTCCGATGAGAACATCGTAAGTGCAGTTACAAGATTATTCGATGAAACTTTATATTTATATCAAAAACTATAACTGCCACAGTTCAAAAACCTATTCTATAATAAAAAAAAGTAGACCTTATTCTAAAAGAGGAGTTCAACATTTATGTAACTACTTACTTCTTACACTAAAAAAGTCACATATGTATAAAAAAACAAATCAAAAGAATTGGTATCTTTTTTTATCATTTCTGAAGAATATCATAAATGCTGGATACAACGTTATTCTTTGCAGGGGTCGAAGTATACTTAAATGATTTTAGTAATATTAGACGTCAACAAATGAATGAGTTAAGTTCATGAAATTTTTTAAGGCCATTAACCGCGAGTGATATTATAAATTTAGTGCGAGTGGTTTAAAAACTGTTTAAGAAGTGAACGATCACAAATCAGTAAATAAAAAAATTACATACCTTGATCAACAAGCATTTTCAGGTTCTGATGGTACTTTGCGCCCAATTCGTTAAATTTTTGAGGATTGTAATGTTTAAAAGCGTAGGATATTCCATGAAACTTTCCATACTTTTTGAAAATTGTTTCGTACATCTTACCATTTAGGGGTATTTTCTTAGGATGGACTTTGTAACCTTTAATCTTTAAATTTTCCATTACCAATTTTTCTTCTCCTTTTTTTAAGCACGTTGCAAGACATTTTGGAATATCGTTAAAAATTTCGACCTTAGGATAAGACTTCTGAAACTCTTGTAAAGCTGGCATCACTGTTGTATAAAAATATATTTCGTTGTAGAAACACATCGACATAAATTTAGTAGTTTCTTTACCGCCTGTCAGACATTGTTTAACCACTAAGTGATGATCTTCGCCAGTATTTTTGTTTTTGAAGGACAAGAATGCGATTTCACCTAAATGTCCCTCACCTTTTTGGTTGCCTTCATGTTCGTGTATTTCAAAATTTTCTATCTTTTCGTTCAAAGACGCTTCTAACAAATCACATATACTTTTTGGTATCATTTTTTACCGGTAATAAAATCTTACTACTAAACTCAAAATATCCGCTCTCATATATACTAATATTATTTTGATTAAATAAGAGATAATAATATTATATCTAACGATTCGAAGCCAACACTATATTCTATAATATTTTGTCAAATTGCGCAATGCATCTCACCTTGAACTGCTTTACGTCCTCGGAGAAATTTTTGAAACGAGGAAGTAACACTACGGAGATGGAGTATTAAAAATAATAATTGTTTGGTTACTTTTTATTAATAATAATTAATAAATAGAAACCCAGGCATACCTGGGATATAATAATATTAATAATTATAATATATCAATATATTAATACATAAAATCAATTATTAAGCCATATACGAGGTTTGTCAAAAAATATCAATTTTATTCAAGAGTAAAGGGTAACATTTTTACAGGACCACGGATAAAAATAATAGTACTTAAGTTAGTCTATAGGACGTGTCTTTTTGTCAGTTCATAAATAATCAGGCTGCAATTCAGACAGTATAAGCACTTACTTCTTCTTTGTCTACCTTTTATAAGCAATTTTAACCCTCTAATACATCAATTTTTGTTCAAGCTGAAAATTCAGAAAAGTTAGATTTTGCACTTACAAACACAAACGTACTGCGGCAAAAATTGATATTACTGCCAGATGTACCTCTAAAAGGAAAAAACAGACATCCGCGTTGAGGCGGACTCGAGCAGTAACCCTGCATTAGGATTACAGGATTATAATTTATTATTATTTTTTTAATTATCAAACTAAGCAAATAATAATTACTGTTTATTATGAAAATCGTAAAAACATGTTTTTGTGGTTGAATTACATAAAGATAAATTACATTTTATTCAATATGCTTGGGTTTCGGATGTGCACTTTGGAAATTTGCACTGTTTTTTAGCAGTTCGATCCCGAAATACACACAAGTGGCCTATTTGATCTTAACGGATGTCCTCCGTCAGAAGATATGCTCTTTTTGATGCTCTTGCAGCGTTTTTAGATGAATAACTGGAAGGTCGGCCAAGAGGTCGTTTCACTAGAGCCATGCCACACAAGCAGAGCGATTCAGCTACTTGAGTTCTGAACACTGGCAACTCAATTTTTTCTTTTTTGGTGATCAATGCTGTGATACAGTGAGTAGGCGTCATTATCGCCACAACTATGAGGTGGTAAAAAATAGGATTATTCCATTTTCTGGTCTACATATGAATGCGATACCGACCTAATAGTCTATCCATCAAATCAACACCTTCCATATTACGATTATATTCTTTGATGATTTGTGAGCAATCGATTTCACCGGGAAATCTTTTTTTTTCTGCACCAAGCTGTATATTTCTCTACCTCGAAGATACCATAGGTAAGCACGCTCAAAGACGTATAGAAATTGTCAAAGTATAAAATGTGATTTACGAAATTTGGAATGTAGTTTGATAAGCGAGCCAAAGTTATGTTGTCTTCTGCATCAGTGTAAATTTAAAATGATTACGAAATATCAGAAGTTTCACAAAGGCAAAAAAAAAATGAAGCCCCACTTATATGGCTTGCAGTGATATTTGTAGCGCACATTTAATCACCTACCCACAACCTAAAAGGCATAGGGACTGGTAGAAACCTGTCATTGAAATGTTTCACTAGCGGGCGAACTTTATGCAGACGATCGTATCCAGGGTTACCCCTTTCCACAGCTACTGAGTTGCCATTATAGTATAGATATCGGCGTATGGATTCTAACCGAAGCTTAGTTAGAAACTTAGAAAGCTTAGTCTGACGAATTCTCTCAAAAAAGTGCTTTCCCCAATATGATCGGATATTCGGATAGCGATAAACAGACATATAGCATTTTTCATATAAAAAAGCTGTCAAATCATTCAATATTTATGTCGTCAGAACCCCACAGCGTTGCCAAAACAAGAAAATAGTAAGTGAGGAATTTTTAAAATGTCAACTATCTGTTAAACTATTATATTAACAGTAAATATACTTAGTTTTAAGACTACTGTAAGTAGGTATACAACCAGAATTTCGCCCCTGCATATTAATATGACTTGATCAAAGTCGGCCCAAGGCGGTTGTATGCATTAGAGGGTTAATAATTGCAACCTATGATAATTTACCGTCGTTGAGTTGCTGCAAATTATAAATAAACTTAAATTTTAAAATCTACTGAGAATGTATTTAAAATCCAATTGAGCATATTAAATTCACAAAATTTTCTATATTAATTTTGATCGTATTTGTAAGTTTAGTAACACACGACGTCCTCTGGACTTCCAATATATGTCCAGTTTTGGTACTGACGTCCCTGGTGGTCCTGACGTCCCTGGACGTTAAACGGGCGTAATTATGGTGGACTAAATATGGACGTTCTCTGGACGTCCGTATTCGGATGTTCCCTGGGCGTCCGTACTCGGACGTTCCTGGGCCTCCGTACTCGGACGTTTTCTGAACGTCCGACATTTACCAATTATGGGATCAAATATAATATATTTCAATAGAATAAAAAATTATTTACGTTAATAAAATAATTAATAGCGAAAAGGTTAAATCACGATTAACTAAAAATTGTATAGTTTAATATATTCAAAACATGTTTTTGTTTTTAGGTAAAGTGTAAAAATTTTCTAGCTAATTCGTTACAATTGTTTTATTATTATAGTTACCACGATGATAAAGTTTGTTAAAAGTAAAAATATATTTATTATCAGAAAGAAGAATTTTGAATAAATATTTTCGAAGATGAACAAGTACGACAAAATGATGATATTAATTGTCCTTGTCATATCATAGCATTGCTGCTATTTAAGCAGTATACAGTGCAAATTGTGCAAATTAGCAACTTTTTTAATGTTTGCTAATGTTATAGTATATTCTTAAAGATTTGCTACCATTGACTAGGTTATTTCCGAGTATGGTTTTTATTTTATTACAAAAAGGTAAGTGTAATTCTTGCTAAAATTAGTTATGTTTAAAAGAAAACGAGTTGTTTCTAAGCGTCATCAACAGAATATGGTTACGAAAAACGTAGAGAATATTGATGATAATAATAATAATCCCGATATTCCATCTTTTTTAAACCTTTCTTCGGAATTCCTAACTGATCATTTTGATGAGAGTTTCCGTTCACGAACTTTATAATCTTTAGAAATAGATCCTTTACAAAGCTCTTCTTTCAATGAAACCAAAGAAGGGTCTAAACATAGTTGTAACGAGAATTCTGAAGAACCTTATTGATATATTTTTGATTTTTGTAATAAATTATGCAACTGCTCTTTGTCCTTTAAAATACTAGGAAATTTATTAAAAATTCATACAGAAGTTCCTGATCTTTCTCATTTGCCTTCAGATACTAGAACCCATTTTGCTTCACCCAGAGAACTTAAATTTAAGGACGTTTTCTCTAGAAAATATTTCTGCGTTGGTGTTTAAAAAAAATGCTCTGATCCGTATGATTCAAATTTTAAAGGTATTTTTATTTTTCCAAAAAATCAATGTTATAGAAATGTATAATACATTTTGACGGAATCCCTCTAAAAAAGAATGCTAGCAGTCAGATTTATTCTGATTTGTTCTTCTAGTTCAGCCAAGATTCATTAAAACTACAATACTTGAAATTCATGTTTTTAATTTTACGCTTTTGAATGATAATTTATTCACAATAAACCAAGTATAATAAACTAAACCTAAAATTAGTTTGTTCAATTTATGAATGTACATTAATTTTGTTTTCAGATGTTGCTTTTAAAAACTACAAAACCATGTAGAAAGAAATTTAAACTTGATAATGAAATATCTGGTGAGATCTAAAGAGAGGGCAGATGCTAAAATAAAATTATAAATAAAATATAATTTGGATGTTGCATTGGCAAATAAGATTAATTTTGTAATGGATAAATTATGTGATTCTTCAGTCAAGAGTTAATTTTTGAAACATTTTTATTTATTAAAAATACATACCTAAAAATGTATCTACTGCTGAAATAAAACAGACAAATTTCCATACTAAGTATTGATCTTTTTCATACATCTGATTTTAACTTTAAAACTAAAAAATTGACTTGTCTGATTTTAACTGCCGACTACACAATTGTAAGGGAAATCAAATGAGAAAGGATAAGGGATTCTGTTTTTATTGAGCGATAGTTATTTTCAACGATTTTGCCAATTTCTTCAGCAGTATCCACAATTCCACCTGTCCAGATAAGTGTTGTCAAAGACCCTGTATCAGTTACAGCCATATTCACTCTTTAACTATTAAAATTTGTGACATTCTAGCAGTGCAGAACGTTCTCAAAATACAATCAACTTTCGAGGTGCAAATTGAAACGTTAATAAACTTATTTTTAACTTCAATTGTGGTTTATTCCCATTAAAATAATCTTAATTTTTATTTGTTAATAATATTATAATTTATCTGAGGAAGTAATTATGGCAATTCAAGGTCATATGCATTGCACAAGTTGACAAAATGTGAGAGTAACCTGAATTGGGTTAAATTCAATCAAGTCAGAATAACTAATTCGGAATGATTAGGAAATAATCACCAATCCTTTTAATTTTATTAATAAAATAATTATTTCAGTTTTTGAGTACATTCTTAAAATAAAAAAACAATTTAAAGTTACAATACATAATAAATTGTTTTAGATGAGATATGCAAATTTATAATTATTTCTAGATAAGAAAATATCAAACTTGGTAAATACTTAACATGGAATTCTGATTAACATCAGTTCCTCCTTGAGATATTTTTTTAGGAAGTCGGATTAACCCTGCACGTGTGCCACTCAAAAAATGTCAAACATCCGTACTGATGTTTAGCTTATTCTATTATTAATAAATGTGTTAATTACTTTTTCAGTATTTGCTAAAAACTCCCTAGAGTATAATAGACCAGCCTTTACCAGCTTCTTCTTCAACTTTTTCTTTTTTTTTCTTCCTCTTTTTATGTAGTCGTGCATATGTAGATTCAATATTGGGCGATTTTAACGCTCTAATTGGCAATCAAGTAATACCCGGAATAAAGCAAAAACATAAAGAGGATGTTAAAACTAAATTGGAAAACTGATGAT